CTTCTTAAGTCAGTCATGCGACCAAGTCAGTTGAGCTTTCAAGGAAATCACATCATAAAAATAGCCATGACTTGAAGTCAATAATGCTTCTTTGAGTCAATTGTTTCCTCAAGTCAATCATGTATCCTTAAGTTGTTTGCAACTCATGTTGGCAATGCTTCTTCAAGTCAATTGCATCTTCAAGTCGGTCGAGCCTTAAAGGCAATCGAGTTGTCAAGGCAACCGCAACTCCAAGTTAGGCATATACTTCTTCAAGTTGATTCTTTCATCAAATCGCTCATGCATCATCAAGATATATGCACCTTAACCTCCAAGCCAGCTCTGATTCTTCGAGTCAGTTATGTGTCCTCAAAATAGTAAAGCCACATCGACAAGACAATCACAACTCTAAGACGACATTGCCTCTTTAAGTTGGTTGCAACTTTATGTTGGTCACACTTGCCATATTTTCAAGTTGGTCAAGCCATAAGGAAGTCACATCAATAAGACGGGGTCTTGACTTGAAGTCAATCATGCTTCTTCAAGACGATTGCTTCCTCGAGTCAATTATAAATCCTGAAGATGATTGTGACTCTAGGTCAACCAAGGCTTTAAAAGGTGCATTTTCAAGTCGATCGCATCATGACGATTGCAACTCCAAGTTAGCCATGCTACCCTACGTTAACCATACATCATCAAGGCGACTGCAGTTTGGCTCAAAGTTGTTGTGCTTTCCTTAAGTCAGTCATGTGCCCTCAATGTGGTCATATCAGTAGGACAACCACAACTGCAACTCTTGCTTTATATCGTTCATGAGAGAATATATTTATATTTTTAATATACATTTAGAGAAAATTCATTAGTCATTTATTAGATCTCGACTGAAACAATACTTCCACAAACTATGCTTGTTGTAATTGCATACTTTTTCTTTTCTCTCAATAATTTTTATCTTATTATGGATTTTTTTAAAATTGAGGAGTGATAAATATTCTTTTCTAAATCATAAACTCCTTTTAAATTATGATATTTATATTAAAACATGTTTATATATTTTTTATAAAATTTTAAACATAACCAATTTTATGTGCTAACAAATAAATTCTTGAGGATACCAAACAAGGCCAAACTCTTCTAGACATTCTCAAGAAGCATTCAAATTTTAGAGGCACTAACATTCCACAGACAACAGGGGACAAGTTAACTTTATTGGCTCATCAGTCATTTTTTACACTAACAATATTTTATCATAATGTAAAACTTCTCATGTTGGATGTAGTATGTCATACAACTAAATCACTAAAAAAGAAAAAAAAAAAGCATCAATTTTTCCTTGAGACAAGTATAAATTTCAATCGTAGCAAATCATACAACATATAATGCTACTACTATTTTATCTCAAAATATCCCTGTTTTGTGCAGGGCAAACTAAAAAGAAGGAAAGAAGCTGCAAAACTAAGATATGGGTTCCTACTAATTAATCTTATAATACAGTAATACATTTCACCATGTCATCACAAAATATCAAGAACATAGAAAACATTAGCATGTCCAACTCTCATCTAGCAGATATATTAAGTGGATCCTTGAATATCAACAGCTCTCAGCTAGCACCATCTGAAATTTTAGTGATGTAAGCAGATAACCCAGAATCGCACTCTGATCTTCACATTTTTACATTCAGATTCATTTCTTTGTAAGAACCGACCTTCTCAGTAGCCTTCCGCAATGGCCTTCCAACAGAGGATCTTCTTTGGCACTCCCGATTCCCGAGTTCTGAAGACCTAATTGAATTATGCTTCTCATTCTTTACTCGTTCAACAGAAATATTTGATATGGAAGAAGTAGAACAATCTCCATGAGCAATAGCTTCCTCATGCAAATTTTCATTCTTGATCGTATAAACTAAAAACTTGGCATCCTTCATCTTGACTGAGTTCTCAGTAGGCTCACATGATTCAGACTTTAAATAACCGGATCTCCTCCGCAAGGATTTTCTGCTTTAGAAAAAAATGTTCAAATTTTAAATACTAAAAAGCAGGAACCATTCCAAAGCCATATAAAACATGGATTACCTTCTTCCATCAATCTTTTCCTCTGATGGCACCTGACAAGTCACTGGAAGTATGGCATCAACAATCTTGTGCAACTCCATAGATTCATGTGATTCGGATTTCAAACTACAGGATCTTGTTCGGAAGGAACTTCTGCAAAAATAAAATAGGTATGAGTTCAATGATGCTCTCAAGAGAAAAAAAAGAGGGGGGGCCTATAGCTTAATCAGAATGTGCATTACCTTCTTCCCACAACCTTTTCCTCTAGGCCCACTTGATGGGTCACTGGAGATCCGCCATCATCTCTTTTGAGCAAGTCATTCACAAATTCACATGATTCAGACTTCAAGCCACTGGATTTTGTTCGTAAGGACCTCCTTCTTCATTAATTAGAATGCATCAGAATTTACATTGTCGTTAAATATTAACAAATTATTCAAAGCTTATCCATAACATGAATTACCTTCTACCATCAACCTTTCCCTCTGATGCCACTTGATGAACCAAAGTGGTAGGGCCTAAAGCTGCAGAACCATACAACTGATATAAGAATGAAGAACAAACACAGAGATTTGAAATCAGATGCAGAACCACTTATTTCACTCATAGTGGTGAGTTGAATTACACTGTGGTTTTAACTCGTGCTTCTTATTGGGACTACAGATTTTCTTGTCATTAGCAAGTTGAGTTGCATTTGCTTCAACCTCTTAACACTTGGTGGTTCCTACCTTTTGCAATTTGTAGAAAGAAAAATAACAGTATGAGCAAAAAAAGGGCAACCTGAATGTAAACAAAACAAGCCATTGGATACCTCTGAGCCAATTTTGTTAAGGAGATCTTTGATCAATTTTTCTTTCTCCTAAGTTAGAGTAAAGAAAAATTATATATCACTATAGAGATTAAGAGAGGAGCAAACAAATTATGAAACTAAAATAATCCCCCTTACCTCTAATTCTGAAGTCTTTAGTTCAAGGATTGATAAGGTACAACCAAGCTCATGTTGTAATACATTTAGCTACAACATGAAATAAATAAATAAATAAATATTATCAATCAAAATAACTTGACATGCAACTTCAATCGATTGACACAAAGTAAATCAAATTAAATCACCTATTATAGCAAACGAAAATCACAATGCGCCAAACCATAAGACAAGAAAACATACTCTTTCTTTCCCCAAGTTGAGCTCCTGCGAATCAAAAGACGAAACAGATAAAGAATAAATCTTTTTTGCGAACTGAAACAATAAAGAAAATGAACAAGGAATCGACCGCTAGCATGTGTGAGTTAGCCCAAGCCAATTGCCAGTTTTGTTGACTGGTTTTCCGCAATTCAAATTGGAGTTTTTGCAACTCGGTGCTACTCAGTTCTATGATTTTGCTGCCAAAACGAACAACAGATCAAACCATATCAATCGATAGCTGGTCCAATAATTTCGACGGACTATTTTTCAGTCAAGAAGTAATTTTTTACAATTTACATACTTCTTTTCTGCAA